ATAAGGAATAAATCAAATTCCCTTCTCATATGACAGACCTTCCAATGTTTGACGAGCATGTAATGTGTCACACTTGAACCATTTATTTTTCTGTATTTTAATTTGTATCTTATTTAACATTTCTATACCTGCCACCAGGGCTCTGGTGGCACAGTGGTTAAGGCATTCAGCTACTTACCAAAAGGTTGGTGGTCTGACCCCACCACCTGCTCTATGGGAGAAAGACCCTGTGGAGCAGTTCTACTCTGTCCTATAGGGTCTCAATGACTCAGAATCAACTCAATGGCAGTGAGTTTGGTTTTTGCTTGTTTGTTTATTTTTGGTATACCTATTAGCATTTTGTTGGCCCCCCAGAGATGTGCTAGAATAAATTAAAGTTCATCTTAAAAGAAAACTACCAGACTGAATATAATATGTATAACTGAGTACCGGTAGTGCAGATTAGGTGAATCTAATCACCTTTATCGATATAATCAGAAAGCAATACACTATATGAAAGAAGAGATCTAGTTTTCACAATTTCACAGGAGGGTGGAGGAATAAAGAAATAGCGAGGGTCCTTAACTTTAACTCATCTCATCAAGATCCCAATGTTTGTATTCATAAAAATGGCATAAATAATGCATTGGTATCCATGGTTTAAAAAGAAAAACCAATTCCCATTTCTCAGGAAACAGAATAAAGAATAAAATTGTGGCAGTATCATCTGCTACTAAGATAACACACATACATGCAAAGGTATGTTTTTGAAAAGTGTTCATGTGAGAAGGGAGAATTAGTCCAACTGAGAAAGAGAAACAAAATCAATTAATTTTAATCTAAGCAAAATAGATTAGGCTGAATATTAAAAGAGAGAGAGAGAGAAAAAGAAAGAAAAGAATATGTTGGCAGAAATAAAATGATTCTATTAACAAGTCAGACTCTAACCCAAGTCTGCCACCCTGTTCATCTTAATGATCCTTCTGTATCAGATACTTGAGGTTTTCCACATAACTGATGGTCCACCACTTATTATTTAAAACACTCTGTCAAGAATCTTCCCACACTGTCTTTTAAGAGAAATAATACTATCAGTTTCATTTGATTTAGATATTTGTTTCATATTTGCCAGAAGATTCTGGCCAATGTTTTTGAAAGCACATTTAACTATACCATATGCCTCCTTAAATCATCTCTATCAAACAAGCTGTGGGATAAGGCTCTGGTTCATTCTGTTCTGTTTTTCTTTCTTCACAATGTGTTTATGTATATTTACCCAATTTGTTCTGTTCTTCTTGCCAAATCACAGGTTTGAGATCTCAACTATTGCAGAGCAGCTGTGCTATTGTGGATGTCTCACAAAACTAGGGTCAGAGAATAAGCCCATACTATAAGCACTGGTGACACCTGTAAGGCTATTGCCCTGGAATAAAGATGATTCAAAGAACTTCAAGAGTTCATCCTATTCAAACGTAAAGAAGACATTTTGCTGCAAACGAGCCACTGGCAGAAATGAAGTCCTAAACTATCTAGAATTTTTTCTTGGTAAGATAACTCGTTTTGTTTTAAGTAAGTTGTGTCCAATAAAAGACATGTTGTTATTGTTATCAGGTGCCATTAGGTCACTCCAACTCATAGTGACCCTACATACAACAGAATGAAACATTGCCAACATAGAAAAGAATAAGCTTACTATTTTCACCCTTATGTTCTTTTTGTGTAAATAGTAAGAATTCATTTTAGTCATATACTCCTATAAAAACTAAACCGGTTGCTGACAAGTAGATTCTGACTCATGGCAATTTCACGTATGTCAGAGTAAAACTGTGCTCGATAGGGTTTTCAATAGGTGATTTTTTTGGAATTAAACCACCAGGCCTTCCTTCCAAGGTGCCACCGGTTGGGTTCAAATCTTCAACTTTTGGTTAGTAGCCAAGCACTTAATCATTCTCCTCACCCAGGCACTTCCCTATCTTGCTATATATGTATATATATAAAAACCAAAACTCACTACCATTGAGTCAGATCCAACTAATAGCGACCCCTCCTTGGGTTTCTGAGGTGATATCACTACGGAAGTAGATTGCCCAGTCTTCCTTCTGAGGAGTGGCTGGTGGGTTTGAACCACCAGCCTTCTGGTTAGCAGTCAAATGCCTTAGGCACTATGCCACCAGAGCTCCTTTGTGTGTGTGTGTGTGTGTGTGTGTAATATAAATTATTTAGTACATACATTTATTTATCTGAAAGTTTTCCACATGCCCATTCCAACAGTGTTCAACAATGATATGTCTGGATAAAATTTGTCTTTTTTTTTTTCTTTTGCTAAATGCATAACATCAGTTTCCAAAGTCCTAGCTACTGGGTTCTCTGCCACATTCTTAGTCCACATCTCTAAGGAAACATCTTCATGTTAATGCTCTTTCCAATCAAAATCTATAAGACCTAAATTTTTAAAAGGAATAATTCTCAACATATAATTCTGAAAATCACTTAAGGATGAGAAAGGAACCGATAGAGCAGGCTAATGAGATGAGGCACATGCTCCTGGATCCAGCTCTGAGACTATGCATCTGGCTCTGTGGCTGGCTGTCTAGGGTTACTTCACCAGCCTGTTGTTAATTATTTAAGTGAGAGAACAGGAGGAACCATCGCCACATCTGTCACCCTCATACAGAAAAACCTTCATTCATTGTTGGGCCAGATGTGTTTATTTGAAATGTAGACTAACTAGCTACTTAATGGGTTTTCATTCTTCGCCAAAAGCTAATTAGGCAAACATTAAGCATCAGTCACCTTACAAGACTAAACTGTTTCAGTTGTGTTGATTTTAATCCAATCTCATAACAGAGCTCATCACTTACAAAAATACCTGAAGAAAATTCAAGGCAAAGGAAGGGTCCAGATTACTTGCAATATAATTGTAGAACCAATAATGATGTCCCCAGATGCCCAATAAATTAACAAAATGTTCTCAAGCTTTGCCTCAGTGGTATCCTGTGCATAACACCAAAAGAAAAGCAAAAGCAATTCTTTTAGAAAAATTGTCCTTCCCAAATGTTCTCAGCTTGCTTGCAGGTGAAGTATTAATGTCAAGAATGGAAGAAATGATGATTTCTCATGTCTAATGTTTATGATTCCACATGTGATTTTTAAAATTGCATCTCCCGAGTACAAAGCCAAACTCCAAATCATAAAAAAAAAATATCAGCAATCTCCATGGTATTCTATTCCAAAGGAGGGTATGTCCAAAGGTAAATTCTAGAGAAAACAAATTCAATGCCTGGGATAGAACAGGAAGATTGTATTTTATAACAATACTGCAGAAGAAAGTAAACGGTGCTCCTTAACTAATCACTATTATAAAAAGGAAAAAAAAAAAAAGGCAAAAGAATTTTCTGTTCTTTCAAATGGTATGTCCCCTCAAAATAGGATCCTGATCATTTTTCTGCTAACTAAAATAGGCTGCTGCCCCCAGCAACCAAATGCTCCATTTTAGTTTTTCATATTAACTGGTATACCAAAATATTTTAGAAGAAAAAAGTCATTCTCAGAAAGGAGACAAACAAGTGCTTTGGAGAAAAAAATAAAACAAGGAAGGGGAATAGAGAGAGCCAGATCCAAAGGTGGTGAAAGGGTGGTGGTTGCATTCTTAAGAGTGACCAGAGAAGGACTTACTGTGAAGGTGGCATTTGAACAAAACTTCAAAAAATGATTCACCATGGCTAATACGTGACTACTCAGAAAGCTACTGAGTTCTTTTGTGCACTTAGGGTTAATATGGGTCCATACAAAATTGACCTGCCTTGAGTTCCAATCCCAGCCCAATTTTGCCATAGATGTGTTCTCAGTAACACTAGATTATCACATGACAGAGAAAATGAATACTTTTTTTTTTTTTTTAGAGAGAGGGAAAGATCTCAATAGTTTTCCTTCTGTAAACTGTATTATGCAGCCCATTCAATCAATTCAATATAGAAAGCTGATACTGCGAAGAGTGACCAGGAAAGGACTTACTGTGAAGGTGGCATTTGAACAAGACTTGAAAAAGTGAAGGAGTGAACCACAAGAGAAACAGTATTTCAAGCAGAGGGAACATCATGTGCAACACCACAAAAGTGGAGTAAGTTGATGTGGTTAAGAAGCAACAAAGATGTCAGAGTAACCATAGCATATATAAATTATAAATTAAATTACTTAGACACCAGAAGTGATGTCCAATAGATATCTTGAATTATGTAAACATCCACAGAAATCAGTTGCTCAAGTCAACTAAAAATTCCTAAAATGCTTCTCTTGGGCTCCATGAAGTAAAATATAATCTTCATTCTCTGAACATTGATTCATACTCTGTGTAGTACCTTACATTCTTAATTTTTTTCTGTTCTAGGAAAAAGATCCACATAAAGGAACTTAGAAAACTGTATTCTAGTTATTAACCTAAACATATTCCATCCACTGCTATTAGGTTAGGGAATATTTGAAATTTTACAATAATTTCCTTCTTAATAGTTCTTGTTAATTGCCATAGAGTTGATTCTAGCTTATGGCAACCTCAGGTGTACAGAATTGCACTGTGCTCCATAGGGTTTTCAAGGCTGTATGACCTTTTAGAAGCCATATTGATGATGTCTAAACTGCTCTTTAATATTAATATTTATGAAACATTATACTAATTAGTCAAAAACTCACTTTAGAACTCTGTGAGTATGTGTGTGTGTATAAGTTCAATATCCTAAAATAATGGCTGTGTTTCTACTTATTAACATTCTCTAATAATGGTTCTTAAACCTATCTGGATAAATATTTATAGAGGCTTTGAAGCAATCATTAAGAAATAAAACAAATTTTACCATTTTCAACCTAATAACAGTTGACATACTAACTAAAGTGGTTTGCCTGTGGCTTACCATTTAATGATGATTCTGTATATCAAAATATGACACAATAAAATGCATATTTTTCACCATTTTCTAATAGTTTGTAGCCAAAATGTTTAAAATCGTTTTCAGTGTAGTACTTACTCTCCAGCTTTATTCAAAGTAGGCGCAGGACAAAGCATAGAATTAAGTTGCACACTTACTGGTGTTACACCTAGAAAAAAGAATACCACTGAATTAACAATGTGTCCTATGTAGTTTACACAGTTTCATTAATCATACGAAGAGTATGCGGCACTCAAAGTTCAAGTGTGGAAAATTAGATATATTAGCATAAAAAAACAAAAAGATACTCATCTATTGAAAGAGGAAAAGAAAAAAGAAACAGAATATGACAAGAGATTATACATTTCATTGATTTATAGTACTGACAATGCATAAATTATTATGTTTATAACTTAGACTAAGTTCATATATAGTTACAAATACTATAAAGCTATCATCTTTTTCCCTTCAATTTTTTAAATATTTTATACTTTTAAAGATAAAGCACATATATGTTAAAAGTAGAATTACTTATACAGAAAGTAAGGTGAATGCCCATGGGGAAATGAAATAATTTCAAGAGTTTAATAAAATAAATATGTCTAGACTTAATAAATACATTTTACATTCTATGTGATTAAATTCTCTTTTAATAATACATAAATAAAAATGACCTAGGTATATAAATATTGAGAAAATTTTTATAATCAACTGCAGCATAAATGAGAATACAACTGTGTATCACTTATATATTGAAGGTGTATCTTAATAAATAGAATCTTAAATAGCTACACATCAAATATATTTATATTATAATCAACTAAATCATGTAATCAAAAAAAGTTAGGTAAATGATAATTTTGATCAAAGATTCTATATCAGAATCTTGATCAAAAGGGGGAAGAATGTAGAACAGAATTTAAAATCTAATTGAAATCCAGTTTCTGGAGCCAGTGTGTCTAGATGAACCCCTGAAACTGTCACAAAAAGATAATCTTTAAACTTTAAATCCTAAATTAGTTCCTGAACCAAAAAAATAATTTATTCAATAAGTAAAGTGTCTATCTTGAGCACTGTGCTCTTCTTAAGAATTATCTAAGTGAGATATAAATTATAATAGGAACTCAAAAGATTACATGAGAAGCTTACGGAGTCAGTGAGTCTAAGTCTATAGCAGGGGAACAATTCAGAGAAGGACAGTGAGGATATTTGCACAACTTGAAGAATGTAATCAATGCCAATGAATTGTACATGTAGAAATTGTTGCAATGATATATGACTGTATATTGTCACCAACATTTAGTTAAAAAGTTAAAGCTCTTAGATACAGATGACTTCAAGAGAACAATAAACACAGCTACTGAATAAAAATTATTCTGTTTCCTTCAATTGTGGAACTGATTATGAAGAGGGTTTGTTAAAAATATTGCTTGCCTTACCAAAATGGTAATCTTAATAGGAATGAGGAGGATTTACAACATTTAGCGTGCTGAGATCCTCATCACGTTAATTCAACAAACACATATTGAACTCTTACTATGTGTGGCCAAAACTGTGCTAACTGCAGTCTTTAGCACCATAATATAAACAGTAAAATAGCAGACGAAGCTCTCAAAAAATAACACCATCAGAGTTACACAAAGTTATAGAGACTGGCTTACAGTATAAACAGCGAGAGGACAATATAATCAGCCATGAGGAACAAATGTTTTAATGGAAAACCAAAATATTCAGAACACTAAGAGTCTTTTTAGAAGGGAGAATTTTCTCCAAATGAGGATAAAAATATTTTACTCATCTGCTTTTCTGAAAGTCATGGCAGGGAAAATAAAACCCAATTCAATAAATATGATAATTATCAAAAAACACTGTGCTGGGTGGTCACTGGGGATACAAAAGATCTGCAAAGCAAAAAGCCTTACTGGAAAGATAGATAAAGGAAAAAAAAAAGAAAAAACTAGAATAAAATATGTCATAAGTAGTAGAGTAGTTTGAGAAAGTTAGATTTTAAGGCAAGAATACCCCCCCGAAAAAAAAAGAAAAACAATGTCATAGAATTAAAGTAAATCTGGGGAAAGAGACAATTAATTTAGGCAGCTGATGCAGAGTACAGTCAGGAAAACTGAGTTCAACCATCAGCTTTGCCCAGGATTAGCTGTGTGACTGTAGGAAATTATTTTACTCTCTCAGTCACAAAACTATCTCTGTAAAATGAGGCTACGTAGGCAGAACCCAACATTTATTAAGCTATGAACAAACGTTGTTATCTTCATTAGCTACTAAATAACTATCATTACTAATTTACTATTATCAGTGCTTCATTTTGTTCTCCTTTGATTCAAAAATACAATATAGTTAGCTAGTTGTAGTTGGGACACAAAGCACATTTGATTCTGATATGCTGTGCAGATATTTAAGTAACAATGAGATTTACAAGAAGACCTACTCTTTGTGTATGTTTCATTTACAGTGTACGTGCAGAGCACACTGCCGTTTCGACTCCCCAACATGAATCCTCTTCCATTCAAAACAATTTGAAATTCCTCTAGAAGTAAAAGAAAAAATAAGCATTCTACTCACTTTTTTACAAAAAAAATAAAAGACAATTTGAAACTAAAATATCAAGATACACAGAAGTAATTGTTTCAAACTATTCAGTGAACTAATACCAATGAAGGCATAGTTGTATTTCCAAATCCACTTGCTTTGTAGACCCTCTAAGGAAACACAGTGAAGATACCAATCTCTGCCACCCAGGGATGAATTATTTATTTATTTTTAACTTTTTTTTCTGATTTGGATGCAATTTTGCAAAGCAGAGTCCTTTCACACTCAACACTGATTTGTTGTTGTTGTTGTTATATGCCATCGAGTCAGACCTGACTCCTAGAGACCCCTCCTTGGGTTTCCGAGGCAGTATCACTATGGAAGTAGATTGCCCAACCGACACTGATTACAACCCCCCAAGTGTCCCAGCTCTCCTCCCCAGCCTCCCTGTGGTTACCCCTTCCCTGCATCTTACATATGCATTCCTGCCTATTCAGCTTTCTCCTCTGTAAATACTTCCTTTCTGATCTCTCACGGTTGTGGCTAAGAATCTAAAGTTATCTTAAATTTGCCCCATTAGCTCTATAACATATATGGACATTTTTATAGCACATACGAATACGTATGTAGAAATACAGTATGCAAAGCATGGGCCTACCCATACCTGATCTTCTTGCCTATCTATCTATGGATCCACCTGTAGTTGAGTATTTACTCTCCCGTAGTGATCAAGATATTAGAACTGAAGTTTAGCAGTCATTCTTATCCAGATACAAACTCTCTCAAATTCTATCCTTAGGAAAATATCAGCTGGAGAGAAATTTTTTTTTGTTTTTCTCTACCTTCAGTCATTTATGTATGGGAACACAAAGAAAATTCACTATTCTTTGATTCTCAGGATAGTCATGTATCATATTAAAAAAAAAAAAAAAACTATAGCTCGCATTAGAGAATTCTTCTTTAACCATTTTTCTGCATTAGTAATCCTGGTTTCATTTTCTGTTGCACACAGATTTATAATCTAATCAGAGGTTACAAGCCATTCACTGCCTCAGTTTCCTCATCTGTAAATAAGAGATTATAAAACTATCTAATAGTGTTGCTCTAAGAATTAGGTGGAATTATAAATGCAAAGCACCCAGCACATGCCCAGCATATCACAGGAGTATAATAAGTAATAGCTACCTTCTTACTCTAATTTTTCCATTTATTTTTCTTGTTTATGTCAGAAATTTATTAATCTATTCTCTTGGAAATACTAATGTTGCTCAGGGATGTTTAACTGCACTATTTCTCTTTAATATTTTAACTATCATTCACTAGAGAGCTCAGAAAGTACAGAGTTCAAGACCATTTCCAAAAGGTCGGGAAGCTCTCTAGCAAATTACACAGCACATTTCCTTCCCAATCAGACCCAATACTATCCTTTCCTAAGTGAAGTCAAGTTAAAAGAACTCCAGGTTGTACCTTAAGAATAAATAAAATAGGCCAGAGAGAACTACAATCTTTCTGTGTAAGAATGGCTGGGAGGTGCTAAAACCTGAGGTCTGTTCTTAGCACAGCTGATGAAGCCACCTGCTTCCTTCCTGCCATCCGCCCACAAGTCACTTCCTTATGTGCTCTGAGCTGGCAGATACTGTACGGTGGCCAGATCATCAAAGCACAGAGTTCAAAGTCCATAGATACATAACTCTGGTATAATCAAATAAAAGGAAAGATTTCATATTTTTATTTTACTTGCCATAGGTAAGGTCTCAAACATATACTAAATACACTGAAGATTCTAAAAGCCTGTCATACAATATGCTCATTATTTAAAATAACACTCCAATCTTAAAAATTTGAATTTAAAATAGAAATATTTCAAGGAATTATTTAAAAATTCTTACATAAAAAGATGCCAAAAAAGTTAATTTTGCTATTCTCTTTCCAACGTGAGTTTTAAATCATATATTTTAACTAGAAAAATATATATATATAATTTCTTATATGGTATTTTTAAATTCTAAGTACTTACCCCCCACACAGACACTTGATGGTCGCAATTCCAGGATTTCGGTACATGACTGAGCTAATATCTAGAAAAGAGGAAGAACAAGATATATAAATAAACTATACTATATAAAATGAATTATAAAATTACAAGCAACCTTGATGTTCTCCCATTAAATTCCATAGATTGGCAGAGAATATTTGTTAATAATGATACATACAGCTTAACAATTAACAACAATATATATAAGTTTTTAGTAATTTGTTAATGATATTAACAGTGATATATACAAGTTATTAGGAAACTTCCTGTTCTGGTTACCTAGTGCCACTCTGACAGGAATATACAACAAATGGGATGGCTTTAACAAACAGGAGTTTATTCTTACAATTTGGAGGCTTTAAGTCCAAGTTCAAGGTGCCAGGCTCTAGGGGCTCTGTGAAAGCCCCTCAGCCTTGGGCTTCAGCTCTGCCTCCAGCTCCTGGCCCACTGAAGCTAGAGGGTTTTCTTCACTAAGATAGCTGCTGGCTGCTGAGGCTGACAAGCCCAAGATTGACAAGTAGAAAGGCACAGTCCTGCTGTTACCAAACCACACAACAGGCCATTAATTCAAGTCCATTGAAAGTCCCGAGACCAGCAGAGCATGGCAGGCTGCTGAACAATGACACAGCTGCATGCAGGGTTCAAGCATGCCATAAGCTAGAGACCACACCCAAAGCTGTTTCTTATATATGGGAAGCAGACCACATGTCCAAAGCAGCTACTCAGCTGCTCCAGTAGAGTCCACCATGGAGTTAATTATCAATCTCCCCATGGGGAATAACTACATTCAGCTGCCAAGCCACTCAACCAGGTCCAGCCAAGTTGGCACACAAACTTAACCACTACAATTCCGTTTCAGAATGGATTCTAAGAGTGTATATTCTAGGAGTACTTATTTAATCAAACTAAATTCAGATAAGTACAAGTAGAGTATTGCCTCCAAGTCTGGTAGCCTTGAGTATAAAATGATAGGTGGAAATTTCCAGCCATAAATCAATGCTGTGTCTTTGGATCAGAAAAATTAAAGGAAGAAAAAAAAATTAATTGCTGTTGAGTACATTCCAACTCATGGCGACCCCAAGTGTGTCAGAGAACTGTGTTCCTTAGGATTTTCAGTGACTGACAAATAGATCGCCAAGTCTTTCTTCCAAGTCCCCTCTGGGTAGACTCTAATCTCCAATCTTTTGGTTAGCAGCCAAGCACATTATCCATTTAACCAGCCAGAAGCTCCTATCAGGCAAATACAACATAGGAAATCTAATCTTCTGTTTAATAATGCTATTTTATTTTTATTTACAGGTTCAATATAATATCAAAAAATAAGCACTTCTTCATTTGAATGTCTTATTTCTACTCTATTCTATTTCTCAGGCTTAATTCTCATAGATGTTTATTGTTCTTGTTCTTGTTGCTGCTCTTAGGTGTCACTGAGTCAGTTCCAACTCATAACACATATATACAACAGAACGAAACACTGCCCAGTCCTGAGGCATCCTCACAATTGTTGCTATGTTTGAGTCCATTTTAGCACCCACTCTGTCAACTCCTCTCATTGAGGACCTTTTTTTCACTGACACTCCACTTTGCCAAGTATGATGTCCTCTATCAACTGGTCCCTCCTGATAACATGTCCAAAGTACTCTAAGGAGCATTCTGGCTGTAATTCTTCCAACACATATTTGTGTGCTCTCTGGCAGTCCATATTGTATTCAGTATTCTTTGCCAACTCCATAATCCAAAGGTTTTAATTTTCTTCTGTCATTCTTATTCATTGTTCAGGTTTTTCATACATATGAGTCCTGAAAATCCTATGGCTTGGTTCAGGTGCACCTTAGTCTTCAAAGTGATATCTTTGCTCTTTAACACATTAAAGAGGCCTTTGGCAACAGCCCAGTGCAAAACGTTGTTTGATTTCTTGACTGTTGCTTTCATGGATGTTGATTGTGGATCGCAGTAAAACGAAATCCTTGACAGCTTTAGTATCATTCTTATACGCATCAAATATTACTCCTGCAGAACATAGGCTCCTTATATGAGCCAAATATTATTTTAGAGGAAAAAAGAAAAAAAAAAGACTTCAAGAATCCCAAGAGCACAGGAATAGAATGGCTCTTCTTAGCTTGTTCTGAGAAACAGAAACTACCATACAAGGCACATGGCTACAAGTGAAAAACAACAATGATGAAATAAGCTGCTGGTAAGGGAGACAACAATCCTCCCATTATTTTTAGAACTGCTCTACACTGCATTATCAAAGTCAGACAAATTCCAGATGATCTTTGAACGACATTCCTTTCTTGACAGAAGTTAAAAACAGATGGTGTGCAGCAGTTTCTAGCATGTCATGTAGATAACTAGAACAGGAAGGAAGGACAGTTGCAGGAGAGAGAATTTTTCCCATACTTACTTCAGTAAGAGTGGAAATATAAATTATCTTGCCCTAAAATTCACTATATCAGCTCATGCAATTTTGTTACTATGAATCTCTGAAAAGAGTTAATCATTTGTTCTTTTTAAGATTATTGCCCACTGAATCCACTTTTCACAGTAATTGAGGCTTAGTGATTAGGAACTAAATCTAATAAGGTTTTATAACTGAGAAATTCCAAATGGGTTCTATTTAAATTCAGAAATGACCAAAGAGATTCCGTAAGTACTCAAAGACCTTTCTGTCCCCAAACTTCTTCCCTTGGTCTGCTGCTTCGTCTTCTATAACCATGCTTACTCTTATAGACTCAAGAATGGATGACTATTGTTAAAGGTCAATGTGCTCTTTTAGAGGGGTAGTATTTCGAATCACTTTAATTTTTAAATTTTTATCATAATTCATATAGCAAGACTCTGATGGAAACAGGATGTGTTGCTAAAGGAATATGGAGCTAAAAGTTCCCAACTAACAAAACTGAGACATTGAAGTTGTAGCTTTCACAGAGATAAAATTGAGAGCATTAAAGCATGAAGCTGAAGGGTAAAAGGAAAAATCAACCCCCAAAATCTGTTTGACCCACTCCAAAGAACTTTATTTTAAAACAGATCTTATTAAGAAAATTGCATATTTTAGTTTGGAAACACTTCATTAGTTATTTTAGCCACATTTCTATCAGTATGAATAGAAAACTTTTCAAGTATCTAAGAAAATTATAAGGGAGGTTAAAAGATAGCATCTATTTGAAATGGAAATCTTTCTCTTTTTAAAATTCCTCAGAAGAACTTCCGGTAAGATGGTGAAATAGGTAGACAAGCTACATAGACCCTCTTCAAAAAAGAAAAGAGAAATCAACTGACAAAGATACAGAAGATAATCCTGGAGGCCTGAGCTTTGAAAGGAAGTATATAGAAGTGAATAAGGCACCAACTAGTGGAAAAATCTGAATGAAAATAATGTGTACAGAGATGGTCAGAGCTGCAGACTGTCAGCTACCCTGATGGGACCAAGAACCTGAATATTTCCAAGTGGTGTTGGGACCTGAGAATTAACCTAAAGATCAACCCTGGATGCCAAGGGCTGCAGGGCCAATGGTGCTGGTGGCTTAGCTAGGAGGGGAAACAACAAGTAGGGAAACAACCTGAGCTATAGACTTTCAGCTGTCCAGAGGGTGCAGTCATTTTGATTGTTTAAAAGTGGTGGCCATTTTGGGTATTTAAAGTAACTGTGGGTGCAGCTATTTTGAATGTTTACAAGTGGTGGCCATTTTGGATATTTAAAGTGACCAAGAGCATGGCCATTTTGAATATTTACAAGTGGTGGCCATTTTGGATATTTAAAGTGACTGAGGGTGCAGCCATTTTGAATGTCTACAAGTGGTGGCCATATTGGATTTTAAAGTGACAGCATTCTCATTAGATTCCAGGTACCTAAGAATAGGTTCCACTTGCCAAGGATGGCAGGGGCATATGGGAGGTTGACAACAGGAAAGGAGACAGGTGGTGAGTGTATAAGTACTGCCAACTAGTAAATAGAGGAACACAGTACTCTGCTTACATAGATAACATCCAAACAAAACAGAAAATGAAAATCATAGGCAAATCACTCCAACATACAATTAAATATAAACACAAAAATATCACAATGTCTCAGAGACAACAGAGGATCACAATCCACATAAAGAAGCAAGATAAAGCAGGAAAAACAAGGCACCAGGATACAGATCCAAAACACATCCCTGAAGAAGCAGCAGCATTGGAACTCCCTGATAAGGAATTCAAAAGAATTCTAGTTAGGAACCTTCAATGGATTGAGAGACAGATCAAGGAAAACACTGATAAAATTGAGGAAAACACAGAGAAAATTCTAGAACAATTTTGGAAAAAAAAATACAAGAATAAAATGACAAAATTAATGAAAAATTAGAAATGATACAAATTCTACAGAAAGAAATCCAGAAATTTAATACTAAATTTTCAGAAATAGATAACACATTGAATGGGCAAAGGAGTAGAATTGAATCAATGGAAGACAAAATTAGTGAGATTGAAGACAAATACCTCAATACTTCTTTGGAAAGGGATCAATCAGAAAAAAAATCAAAACAAAATGAAAAAACCAAAGGTCATGTGGGATATCATCAAAAGGAATAACCATGTGTAATCAGAATTCCAGAACAGGAAGAGACAAAGAAAAACCACAAAGAAAACTGTCAAAGATTTTTTGGAAGAGAATTTTCCTGATACGATGAAAGATAAGAATATAACCATTCAAGGAGTCCAATGAACCTTAAACAGGATAGACCCTAAAAAAAAATCACCAAGATATATCATCATCAAATTCACCAAAACCAAAGACAAAAGAATCCTGAAAGCAGCACAGGGAAATCAAAAAGTTACCTACAATGGGCAACCAATAAGACTAAGTTCAGATTTCTCAGTAAAAACCATGCAGGCAAAAAGACAATGGGATGGTATATATAAAATTCCGAAAGAGAAAACTTTCCAACCAAGAGTGATATACCCAGAAAAACTGTCCCTCAAATATAATGGTGAAGTCAGGAGATTTCCAGATAAGCAGAAATTAAGGGAATTTGTTAAAATCAGACCAACCTTACA